CCTCAAGAATCATGATGTAATGCAGTGGCAATCCCCACAAAAAATGCTCCTGGATGCTAAAGAGGATATTGAAAACCAGAGACCAAGTGATCCAAACAGATTATTGGGAGACTGCAATGTAGAAGAACAAGTTTATAACTTCCAACATGTATCAGAGTTTGAGAGGTGAGCTAGACCAAATGGACTCAAAAAATATTTTCTTCTCTAATTATGCAAGGCCTCGAGAAATTTTCACTATGTGGCTTGCAATCAATGGGATACTTCCAACAAAAGATAGGATGATTCAATATGGTTTGAATGTGGATGCTAACTGTGTTTTCTATACTGAAATTGAATCTATGGACCACTTACTGTTTGATTGCAGTAGAACTAGGGATATTTGGCAGAATATCCTCATGTGGGCTGGCTTTAACAGGGTCCCCTCCAACTGGAATAATGAGAAGACTTGGCTCATCAATGAAACAAGGAAAAAAAGAGGGAGAAGGTGCATTCTTAAAATTGCGGTTGCAGAAACAGTGTATTCTGTTTGGAGAATGCACAATGATTTGATTTTTAACCAACATATGCCAGATGATACAATAAAGGGATAGAATTATAGAAAATATTGTCTTGAGATATATAGGATATAAGAAATTTGATAACCACATCAATATGGAATTTCTTTGTATTGAGTAAAGTTGGTTAGATTGGTTTTTCTAGTTTTCTTGCTTCCTGGATCCTTGTATATCAGTTTGTAATTATCAGTTTTTGGGAAATATAAAAGCTATCTTTTGCTCCCAAAAAAATGAATCTATTCCCTAGGTTGGATTAAACAAGTGAGAGGTAATATTAATTATCTATTAAAAAATAATTTCCTCTTTTTTATTTATTTAAAATTTATTTATTCCCTCGAATGATTAGTCTAACCAAGAGGAAATATATTTTGCATGTATTTTCCATATCTATAGTCTCTTACTATTCATTTAGTTTCTAACTTTCATTCTTCTTCATTTTCCCATAAAACCGAAAGGTCTTTGTTAGAAAATATACCCTAGGCGATATTCATCTCCATCATCTCCATTTATACACCCTAACATCTAAACACATATTCCATAATCATTTTCAAAACATCGTCCCTTCCAACAGACGTAAGTTTTCGATCGTCAACGCACGTTTCCTCCCTTTAACACCGTAACACCATTAAAGCTCAAGTGTATCTTGAAACAAAGGAAAGACAGCCAAACATCAACGAAGTTTCCTCCACCATTGTTTATCAACTTCATCGTGTATTCGGTACGTAACTCAATCACTTCACTTTATCCATGCATGTAACTTAGAAATGTTAGTTTTTGTTGTATGAGTTCTTTTATTCTAATTATGTTGATGAAAATGGAAATAGGTTTTTTCCTTTTTTGTGTAAAATATTTTTTCCTTTTTAGTGTTGTTTTTGTGTTGTTTTAAGTAAAATGATTATGATGCTTTACATATGAAGTACTCTTAAAAAGTAATATGTTTATTATTGTTTGTTATTTCGACAGAGATTGACGATTTAACCATCACCTCCCCTACAACCACCACCTCTCCTACAACCACATCTTTTAAGACTAAAAGTAAAAGAACATCTAGAGGTGTCACGATGTTAGAAAAGTTGACACAAGTCCGCAACACCAATATTAGGTTGTCAGATGATTTTTGTTTATAAAGTGATGGTGAACATGCTAGGTCTTTTAAGAGTTACGCGACATTACTTGGTAGAAGCAAAGGGAGAATTTTGTTACATGATTGGAAAGAGTTTAATTATAAATTGAAAAGGAGTATATGGAGTGATCTTAATTTATTTATTTTAACTTTCTTGATTTTTTTTACAAGTATATATGATAATTTACTTTTCTGTTTAATACTAATATCAACTTTATTATATAAATGTAGAATTTTTTATTCTCCTAAAACATTATAAGCTGGAAAAGAAATGGATATCATATGCTAGGGAGTATATGAGGGGATTTATAATGGATTATATTTGTGAATCTAAAGAGAACTAACTAAATTTTCAATACATGACTTATAGTTTTATTGATAAAGACGTTTGAGAGAAATTTATTGAGTCTCGCAGTACTCCCGATTTCCTGGCTATGAGTCAAAAAGGAAATGAGAATAGAGGAAACATATATAGCCTCGTAGATTTTCTCGTTGAGGATATGATAAACTAGAAGAGATTATGATAAAAGAATAAATAAAACAAAGAGAACAAGTGTTTGGAGATCCTTCTCTAAGCCTTGATCGTAGCCCATATTCCACCATCACACCATGAGAAATGGAAGAGAACACATCAAAGACCGGGAGGTGAGTTCACATCAGAGGCTACATACGTAGTTGCTAAAAAGGTTGTAATTAGATCATTTTTAACATTATTAACAATAATTAATTCGATTCAACAATGAACTTTTATTTGTGTTGTAGAATTTATTGGTTGAAAAAAACCAATGATGGTGCCTTTGTTCCAAAATGATTCCATGTTATATTGATAGAAGCATTTGGAACTAGTGAGCGCATGGTGGGGCATCTGTGGTGCTCGAAGAGGCGTCGATCAGATTTTATTTTACGGATCATCATCAAAGAGTAACATAATGCACAAAAACTAGATTGAAGAGCTAATACTAGAATAGAGGCTAGAAGAAACATTAGAAAAAGAGTGAACAATTATGCGGGAGAGTATGACCCGAGAGGTGGAGGAGAGGGTGACCCGAGAGGTGCGGGAGAAAGTGTCCAAGAGGATTGAGGAGAGAGAGACCAAGCAGGTTTGAGAGAAATTATCCAGGAGGTGGACGAGAGGTTGACCAAGGAGGTGTATGAGAGAGAGACCAAGGAGGTGCAAGAGAATGGATGCCAAGGATATGGAAGATAAGGTGACCAAAGAGGGGCTAGAGAGGGTCACTAAGGAAGCGTATGATAGTATGATCTAGGATATGTGGGAAAATGTGGCTTGAAGATGTGATTGAGTATAAGTTTGGTTTATGAACTTTCTTTTTTATTTTTCTAATAAAAAATATGTGTTATGTGTTATTGATGTTTGTGTTCTTAAAATTACTTATTGTATTGCTTTTGTTTTTATGATACAATAATTGAAATTGATGGGTTTTCTCAACCATCCAAATTTAAATCAGTTAGACATACGTGAGAAAGTTTTTTTGGGCGGTGCAAGTACAAAAGGTAGTTGTTCAGCTTCAGTCCCTCTTCACAAGATACAAAACACTAGAGCCTCAATGAGAACCATTGAAAAGATTGGCAAGCATGGAAGATGATCTTGGACAGTCCTTCCAGATACAATTAAAACATGATCCAGAACAATATTTTTATATTGCAAAGAGTTGTATTATGGAAATTGTGGAGTGTGTTGTTTGGCTTGATATAAATGTGCTTTAATTATCGTGTACGTAAGTACAATTTTACGGTGATTTCAAATTATATTCATTGTTAATTTACTTTAATATTACCTTTTATGATAACATCATTTCTGTACTTGCATTAATTTTGAGCACACATAGGTTTACAAAAGTATGGTTTCTTGGACCTATAACTTATTAAATTTGTCCAACGTTCATCAAATGATATTCAAATGTACGTACAAAATAACTTAATTGAAGACAAAAGAGATTGTTCCTAGGAGTGTTTCTCAATTTGTATGTATATATGACTTGTGTTTTCTCTTATTTAACACTCAAGCTTTTATCCATTATTAATTATTCTGGATGTTGATATAGTGATTATTGACAACTAATAATCATTTGTCACAAGAATTTTTTTTAGCAATTATGCTATGCTCGTTACACCACTGTCTTGATCCAAAGATGAAAGCAATTCTTAGCTCATAAGTGGTATTTCTTATAATACTAAAATGTTACTTTATTTTTGAATAATTTGTATTTTAGTTTAATTTTTTTCAACATGTAGAGATATGGATGGATACAATCTTATGTGTCTAAATCTAAGAAGTAAAAAAATCAAAATTTATTTTTCCAAAAGTAAGTGGTCTTATTTATGTCATTCTTAACTTTTCTCTAATTTATTACTTGTGATTTGTGTGTATTAATCACTATATATAGTTATTTGTAGTCACAAAAATAACCAAATTCATATGAGTATGGATATTATGTTATGAAATATATGTTAGATATTGTTTACCGAAATATTACAGACTCATGGGCTAAGGTAATCATTTTGTTCATATGTATGTAATTTATGTATGTTATAGTTAAGTTAAATGTTGGTATTGTTGTGTTAACATAATTTAAATTTGTTCAAATTATAGGTGTTTAACAATGTGATTCACACAAAAATATATATATGATATTCGTTCATGTTGTTCCGGTTGCTTCCTTAATTTTTTAAGTGTTGGCTAATAACCTAGATTAGTATGATGTAGATGTATATGTGTATTATTTTTGCTTGATTGTAAACAATTAATGTATATGTGTTGCATGTGTATAAAGGTTTCTGTCTAAAATGTGTATATTTGCTACCTGGATGGTACGATGCATGTTGAAAACATATGTATATAGGTTGTGTATTATAATTACAAAAAATGTGAATATAAGTTCTATTAAAAATGTGTATGAAAATTATGTAATATTAAAAAAATGTTTTTCTCAATGTTATTGGGGATCGAACTAATGACCAATAAGTTTTTCTCCTTGGTTAATATTTTAATCGAGAGAAAATGTGGTGTATTTTTCATGACACTCTTATTTATCTCGGTCAGTAAACTGAGATAAAAACCTCTAAACAACTGAGATAAAATCACTTTTTCGTAATAGTGTAGGATCATAGTCTATAAAAATTCATAGTCTTAGTCAATCATGATTGCGGTGTAGTGACTTCAAAACAATGATATTAGTCTATTTGTGTGATTGGAACTACAAAATTACGTGGTTCCATACATACACTTATAAAAGTTTATGGTATTTTAATCTCATGGAATCAATTCCCTCACACACATGCTAGAAGTAAAAGGCATATTCACTTTAATGTGATTCTGCAAACTGAAAATGAGACCAATATTCCCTTACAAGGTTTCCAAACAACGATTTTTCTCTCTTCATCAACTTCAATGGTTCATCATACTCCACCAATTTTCCTGTAAATGTAATCAAATATTTTATTGTATTAAAAAGAAACAAATAAATAATCAACCATTCTTTTTCCCTATATATTGCTTGTATTAAAAGTTTAAATTTGAAATCCAATAGCCACTCATTACTTATACCACACATTATCAACATATTATGAGTAGAAATGACAAAAAAAAATTGTCTATTCAATCAACATAATATGAACGTACCATCACTTATGGAAAGAATCATATTGCAATCCATCACAGTTGGTATCTTGTGTGCTACTGTTATGACTGTACAACCATTAAATTCTGATTTAATGGTATTTTGAAGAATCAAATCAGTTGCATTATCAATTGATGCAGTTGCTTCATCTAACACCAATATCCTACTTTTCCTCAAAAGCGCACGCCCTAAAGAGAATAATTGCCTTTGTCCAATGCTCCAGTTTGTTCCATTTTCAACAACTGCATATCAAGTTAATATATCTTCAAAATATGTTCTTGCAGAAAATATAATTGCAAGATTTAAATGTTGAGCTGGAAATAGTACCTGAGGAATCTAAGCCGCCTTTATCTTCGACAACTTCTTGCAGCTGGCACTTTCGAAGAACCTTGATATGGAAGACAATATTAATCTATATTTTCCAAGGTGAACAAAATCAAATAGAATTTATAAATTTTAACTACCTTGTTGCATAAACTTTAATGTCATTAGTAATAAGTTTTCATATTAAATAAGGTAGTAGGAAGATTAAGAACCAATGTAATTTGGAAGGACACAAGTTAGTAAGTTATAATAGTTTTTATTAGTAGCAGTTATCTTTTTTGAATTGTAAAAGTCATTGGGTCTATATAAGGACCAAGAATGTATTTTATTTAACAAGCAATATAGAAAGGTTTGCCTCTTTCTCAAAATAAAACAAATCGAAGTCTGTTTCTTTATATCAATTTGGCATCAGAGCTCATGGCAAACATGATGAATCAAATGCTGTTGCCACGGCTAACGAAGTCAAATTATGAAAACTGGAGTATCCAAATGAAAGGTCTTCTTGGACCTCTAGACGCGTGGGATGTGACCCATGAAGGGTTTGAAGAAGCAACAGAAGTTGGGGGATATACGGCAGCTCAAACGAGGGCGTTGAAAGAGACGCGGTTGAAGGACAAAACGGTATTATATATGTTGTTCAGGGCTGTAGATGAATCAGGCTTTGAAAAAATTGCTGGTTCGACTACGTCGAAACAAGCGTGGGACACGTTAGAAAGAGTGTTCAAAGGAGCAGATCGAGTGAAGCAAGTTCGACTCCAAACTCTTCGTGGCGAATTGGAGAGGATACAGATGAAGGATACATAAATTGTATCTGACTACATCACGCGTGTGCAAAAGGTGGTGAATCAACTCACCAGAAATGGAGAGACATTAACTGATGCACGAGTTGTTGAAAAGATCTTGAGATCTTTAACAGACAAGTTTGAGAATATTGTGTGTGCAATAGAAGAGTCGAAGGACCTTTCGACGCTCTCAATCGAAGAGCTCGCTGGTTCTCGCGAAGCACATGAACAACGAAAGATGAAAAAGAAAGAAGAAGCAGTCGAAGAAGCAAATCAAACCAAGGAATCGAACAAAGACGAAAAGGTACTTTTTTCTCAAAACTTTCGAGGAAGAGGACGTGGACGTGGAGGTCGTGACAGTGGTCGAAGTGGTAGAGGTAGCAACTTCGAAAGAGGACAATCGAGCCAACTAAATTGGCGTGGCAGAGGACGTGGTCAAAGAGGTGGTCGTTCGAATCATTCCAACTTCGAATGCTACAAGTGTGGGAAGTATGGTCATTACGCGAAAGATTACAACTCCTACAAATGTTACAACTGTGACAAAGTGGGACATCTTGCAAAAGACTATCGAATCAAAAAGAAGATTGAAGAAACAACCAACCTAGCCTTGGAAGCTGAATCGAATGAAGGCTTTCTCCTGATGGCTCAAAACGAAATCAACACCAATAATGACAATGTTTGGTATCTTGACTCAGGAGCAAGTAATCACATGTGTGGTTACAAACACTTGTTTAAAGATATGAAGAGAATTGAAGATGGTAATGTGTCTTTTGGAGATGCATCGAAAGTGAAGGTCAAAGGAAAGGGCACAATCAGTTACTTGCATAAGGATGGCTTGATTGGATCAATCGAAGACGTTTACTATGTACCAGATCTCAAGACCAACATATTGAGTCTGGGGCAACTTACAGAAAAAGGTGTTTCGATACTTATGAAAGATCGAACACTGCATTTGAAGGACAAAGTAGGACATCTGATTGCCCGTGTCGAAATGGAAAGAAATTGAATGTACAAACTGAACCTGAGGAATGTTCGAGAGAAATGTCTGCAAATCAAAATACAAGACAAAGCGTCACTATGGCATATGCGCTTTGGTCATCTACATCATGCTGGTTTGAGAAGGTTGGCGAAAAGGAACATGGTGCATGGACTAGCAGACATGGATTTCGAAGGAAAGTTCTGTGAAGAATGTGTGCTCAGCAAACAAACAAGAACCTCATTTCAAAAGAAGGCCGATTATCAAGCTAAACATATTCTCGAATTGATACATACTGACATATATGGGCCAATCACTCCAGAATCCTTCAGTGGAAAAAGGTACTTCATTTCTTTTATTGATGACTTCTCAAGAAAAAACTGGGTTTACTTCCTGAAAGAAAAATCTGAAGCATTAGAGGTGTTCAAAAAGTTCAAAGTAATGGTGGAGAAGGCAACAGACAAACACATCAAAGCAATTCGATCTGACAGAGGAGGTGAGTATACTTCGATGGCCTTTGTGAAGTACTGTGAAGAATAGAGCATAAGGAGATTCCTAACTGCACCATATTCACCTCAGCAAAATGGTGTGGCTGAAAGGAAGAATCGAACTATTCTTGACATGATTCGATCAATGCTCAAAAGCAAGAACATGTCGAAAGAATTATGGGCAGAAGCAGTACAATGTGCTGTTTATGTTCAGAATAGATGTCCACATTCGAAGTTAGAAGATAAAACACCACAAGAAGCATGACGTAGACAGAAGCCAACAATTTCTCATCTCAAGGTATTTGGTAGTATAGCTTATGCACATGTACCATATCAACGAAGAACAAAGCTTGAAGACAAAAGTCAGAAGTACATATTCATTGGATATGATGAGAAGACGAAAGGGTACAAGCTCTTCGATCCCATAAGCAAGAAAGTGATCGTGAGTAGAGACGTTCGAATGAACGAAGCAAGCAAGTGAGACTGGAACAATTCGACAAAGGTTATTGACGCAGTTGAAGAAACAATTGTAGTTGTACCAACAAGTATTCCAACAGAACATGAAGAAACTGAAGATGAAGATGAACCTCTACAACCCAGAATGAGAAGTTTGCAAGACTTATATGATTCAACAAGTGAGGTGCATCTTGTGTGCCTTCTGGAAGATGCTAAAAACATCAGTGTCGAAGAAGCGTTACGAGACAAGAATTGGAAAAGTGCCATGGATGAAGAGATTAGAGCAATCGAACGCAACAAAACTTGGGAGCTAGTCGAATTGCCAAAAGGTAGTCAACCCATTGGTGTAAAGTGGGTATTCAAGAAAAAGATGAATGCTCAAGGAGAAATCGAAAGATTCAAAGCACGACTGGTTGCGAAGGGATACAAACAAAAAGTAGGAATTGACTATGACGAAGTGTTTGCGCCTGTTGCAAGAATGGAGACAATTCGATTATTCATTTCTCAAGCTGCTCAATTCAAATGTCCAATATTTCAAATGGATGTCAAGACAACATTTTTGAATGGTGTGCTCGAAGAAGAAATCTATGTCGAACAACCACTTGGATATATGAGAATTAGAGAAGAGAAGAAGATGTTGAAACTGAAGAAAGCGTTGTATGGGCTGAAGCAAGCACCTAGGGCATGGAACACACGCATTGACACATATTTCAAAGAGAATGGGTTCGAGCAATGTCCTTATGAACTTTCCCTCTATGTGAAGAAAAATGGAAATAATGTATTACTTGTTGTTCTCTATGTTGATGATCTTATCTTTCTAGGCAGTGATGTTCAGATGATCGAAGATTTCAAGAGCACCATGACAAGCGAATTCGAAATGACAGACTTAGGTCTGATGAGATTCTTTCTTGGTCTGGAGGTTCGACAAGAAGAAGCTGGAATCTTTATATCACAAGAAAAATATGCAAAGGAAATCCTAGAAAAATATAAAATGAAGAATTGCAATCCAACTTCGACGCCAATGGAACCAGGTGCAAAACTGTCAAAGTTTGATGGAGGAGAACGGGTTGAAGGAAGCAGATATCGAAGTTTGGTAGGTAGCCTTCGATATCTCACATGCACAAGGCCAGATATTTCACTAAATATTGGCATTGTAAGTTGATTCATGGAGGAGCCAGTACACACACATTGAAAGACAGTGAAACGAATTCTAAGATACATCCAAGGAACAATATCACTTGGAATGTTTTATTCAAAAACAGAAGACTACAAGTTAGTTGGTTATTCTGACAGTGACTAGTGCGGAGACATAGACGATCGAAAGAGAACTTCTGGATATGTGTTTTTCATGGGAAACATAGCATTTACTTGGCTATCAAAGAAGCAACCTATAGAAACACTTTCGACGTGTGAAGCTGAATATGTGACAGCATCCTGGTGCGTCTGTCATGCAGTATGGCTCAAAAGGTTGATAAGCAAGATGAAGCTAAAACAGGAAGGTCCAACAATAATACAAGTGGACAATAAATCAGCTATCGAATTGACAAAGAATCCAGTGAATCATGAACGAAGCAAACACATTGATGTTCGATTTCACTTCACTCGTGAACATGTGAAGGAGAGAAGTGTCGAATTAAGGAATGTAGCAAGCAAAAACCAAGCAGCAGATATTTTCACAAAACCACTATCGAAAGAGATCTTCGATAGAGGCAAGAAGATGATAGGAATGCTGGATGGAAGAAACATTTAAGTTTACAGAGGAGTTTTGTTGAGTAAACTTTAATGTCATTAGTAATAAGTTTTCATATTAAATAAGGTAGTAGGAAGAGTAAGAACCAATGCAATTTGGAAGGACAAAAGTTAGTAAGTTATGATAGTTTTTATTAGTAGCAGTTATCTTTTCTGAATTGTAAAAGCATTGAGTCTATATAAGGACCAAGAGTGTATTTTATTTAACAAGTAATATAGAAAGGTTTGCCTCTTTCTCAAAATAAAACAAATCGAAGTCTGTTTCTTTATATCATACCTCCCATATTTGTTGATCAGAATGTTGAGATAAAGGATCCAAGTTATATCTAATTGTTCCAATGAATAAGGTGGGATCCTGAGGTATAATTCCAAAACTTGACCTCAAGTCATGAAGGCCAATAGATGATATATCTATTCCATCAACTAAAACTTTTCCTCTTGTTGGCTCCACAAGACGAAACAAAGCAGCTACGAGAGTTGATTTTCCGCTACCTGTTCTACCAACAATACCAATCTTGTTCCCTCCTTCAAATGTGCATGTGATACCATGAAGTACAAATGGTCCATTAGGTTTGTATTGTATCTGGCATTGTACAAATGGTCCATTAGGTTTTTTTCATGAACAATATGTTTTACATTCTTTTAGAAAAAAGTGTTAATTACCTTCAAGTCTTTTATTTCTACTTTTCCTGCATTTGGCCAATTAAGTGGAGGATGATTTCCTTCCATCACTTCTTGATTATCACTCTGTATGTGAGTGTATTGATTTATCCTCTCTACTGATACTATATAATTTGCTAGAATGCATTGGTATTGAGTGGAGTATACTATAGAAGTGTTTAATAAAAGGCCATAAGAAAGGACCATACCAATAAAACCTAGAAAAATGATTGTTCAAAATAAGAAACTTGCATAAGTGATATAATGCATTTGATGATAAAGGCATATGATTTTCATGATTATATAAAAACTTAAACTCACCCGATGTAAACGTCCCTGAAGGAAGCATTGCTATGCATAGTGCTGCAGAGGCAAGAACAATTGCGTAGATTACTTCTAATCGTTGAATCAACCACTCATTTGAGGCAAAACTGTGAAAGGAAGCACTGGCATTAACATCAATTAAATCAAGATTCTTGTTGACAAATCGAGCCTCCTCCTCGAAAGCCCTTACTGTCATAGCTCCAACATAAGTTTCAGCTACATGATTAGCTACAGAAGATTTTGTTGTTCCATTCATCCGCATAAGTTCTTTTGCACATGCATTGTAGTGTCTCTATTACAATAAAAAAAACACATGTTCATTTTGAAACATTTGCAACTAAAAAACTATTCATATTTTGAATGTTGTTAAAAATGAAGTCATTATATCATCGCTACAATATCATACAAAATGAAATATGTTATTTACCTGTAAACGAATAGTAACATAAGCCATTGGTATACACAAAAGCAAGACTTGCCAAGCGACAGATGATAAAACTAGTATATTTGCATAATGATTCATAATGGATGCGACATAATATGTGAAGTTAAAAGCGATATCAAGATCTACAATGCTCAAATCCGATGAGACCTACATAAACAAACAAGTTAAGCAATCGTCAAAAACAATTTTCATCGATTACCTTTGTAGTGTAAAAATGGTTTAATAAGCTTACCCTACTAAGTATCCTCCCCAAAGGTGTGGTGTCATAGAAAGACATCGATGCACTAAAAAGAGAAGATATCAGCTGTCTAAACAAATTTTCCGATGATTGAAAACCCAAAGCAGCTGCAAATAGACTTCTCATTATAACAAAAATTATAGAAGTAATTCCAATCAATAGGTAAATTGTAATCAATTTCAATGTGCTGACTTGAGGATTGTCAACACTAGAAGCCATCCATGAGTTTTGGAGTATTTGACAAATCATAAACATGAAGTGAGAAAAAGAACTGACAAAGAAGTATATATAGCCTCTTTTCTGATTGAGATATTGTAAGTAAGACTTCATCCCCGTGTCTCCCTTTTCTCTCTCTTCTTCCTTAATAAACTCATCTCCAATTATATCATTAAGGTTTTTCTTTGTGAAATGTTGTTTCATCTCTTTATTAGACTTTGAATGTATTCGGGATGAAGTAACATCTGCAAGCTGGCAAGAACCAACCGTCTTTTTGTGTGCATTAACAAAGTCCTTAAATTCTTGGCTAAAGGTTAGTAAATCATTATAAGTACCAGCTTGTTGGATTTTTCCATCTAACATCAACTGTGGCAAGAAAAAAAGAACATAAAAAACAACAACAATAACAACAACAACAATAACAATAACATGTGCAACAACAAGAATAACAACAAAACAACAATAATAATAACAAGAACAACAACAATAATAACAAAAAAAAACAACAAGAACAACAACTAATATTGCTAACTTGAACCAATAATTTCCTTGTCTCATTTATGATAAAATATGAATCAGACTTTGTGTGCTTTCTAACTTCTTGTATATTGCTCTTGTTGATAAATTACACACTCTTGGTCTTTTGTAGACTCAAAACAAAAACTATTACAATTCTAAAACAGTAAATTAAATTAAACATAATTGCTACATAACTACTAAAAACGATTGCCTTTCCTACTTCCATAGTTAATTCCCAATTATTTATTTCTAACCCATTTAATGTTTTTATTTCAACAAAACTCCTCCTTAAACATTAAATGCTTCTTCGATCCAGCATCCCAATCATCTTCATGCCTCTTTCGAATACTTCTCTTGCAAGTGGTTTTGTAAGGATGTCAGCTGCTTGATCTCTGCTTGCCACATGCCTTAGTTCCACGCTTCCTTCTTTCACATGTTCACGTATGAAGTGAAATCGAACGTCTATATGCTTGCTTCGTTCATGATTGACTGGGTTCTTTTCCAGCTCAATAGCTGATTTGTTGTCCACGTGTATTATTGTTGGACCTTCCAGTTTCAGCTCCATCTTACTTATCAATCTTCTGAGCCACACTGCATGGCAAACGCACCAAGATGCTGCCACGTATTCTGCTTCACACGTTGAAAGTGTCACTATTGGCTGCTTCTTCGATAGCCAAGTGAAAGCTGTGTTTCCCATGAAAAACACGTATCCTGCAGTGCTCTTTCGATCATCAATGTCTCCACACCAGTCACTGTCAGAATATCCAACTAGCTTGTAGTCTTCAGTCTTTGAATAAAATATCCCAAGTGATACTGTTCCTTGGATGTATCTCAGAATTCGTTTCAGTGCTTTCCAGTGTGTGTGAACTGGCTCCTCCATGAATCTGCTCACTATGCCAACACTAAGTGAAATATCTGGCCTTGTGCATGTGAGATATCGAAGGCTGCCTACCAAGCTTCGATATTTGCTTCCTTCGACCCGTTCTCCTCCATCAAACTTCGACAGCTTTGTGCCTGGCTCCATTGGCGTCGAAATTGGATTACAATTCTTCATTTTATACTTTTCTAGGATTTCCTTTGCATACTTTTCTTGTGATATGAAAATCCCATCTTCTTCCTGTCGAACTTCCAGGCCAAGGAAAAATCTCATCAGACCTAAGTCTGTCATTTCGAATTCTCTTGTCATGGTGTTTTTGAAGTCTTCGATCATCTTAATGTTATTGCCTAGAAAAATGAGATCATCAACGTACAGTGCCACAAGTAATAAATCACTTCCATTTTTCTTCACATAGAGCGCTGGCTCATAAGGGCATTGCTCGAATCCACTCTCCTTAAAATATGTGTCTATGCGTGTGTTCCATGCCCTAGGTGCTTGCTTCAGCCCATACAATGATTTCTTCAGTTTCAGCACCTTCTTCTCTTCTCCAGCTCTCATGTATCCAAGTGGTTGTTCCACATAGATTTCTTCTTCGAGCACACCATTCAAAAATGCTGTCTTGACATCCATTTGAAATATTTTCCATTTGAACTGAGCAGCTTGAGAGATGAGTAGTCGAATTGTCTCCATTCTTGCGACAGGCGCGAATACTTCGTCATAGTCAATACCAGCTTTCTGCTTGTATCCCTTTGCAACCAGTCGTGCCTTGTATCTTTCGATCTCTCCTTGAGCGTTCATCTTTTTCTTAAATACCCACTTTACACCAATGGGTTGACATTCTTTTGGTAATTCGACAAGCTCCCAGGTTTTGTTGTGTTCGATTGCTTTAATTTCTTGATCCATGGCGCTTTTCCACTTTTCATCTCTTAATGCTTCTTCAACACTTATGTTTTCAGCATCTGCCAGGAGACACACAAGATGCACCTCACTTGTTGACTCATACAGATCTTGCAAACTTCTCATCTTAGGTTGTAGAGGTTCATCTCTTTCTTCTGTTTCTTCATGTTCTTCTGAAATTCTAGTTGGTACAACTATAGTGGTTTCTTCGACTGTATCAACAGCCTCTGTCGAACTGTTCCAGTCCCACTTGCTGGCTTCATTCATTCGAACGTCTCTGCTTACAATTACTTTCTTGTTTATAGGATTGAACAGCTTGTACCCTTTCGTCTTCTCATCATATCCAATAAATATGAACTTCTGGCTTTTGTCTTCGAGCTTTGTTCTTCGTTGGTCTGGTACATGCGCATAAGCTATGCTACCAAATACTTTGAGATGGGAGATTGTTGGCTTCTGACCACTCCATGCTTCTTGTGGTGTTTTGTCTTCTAGCTTCGAATGTGGACACCTATTCTGAATGTAAACAGCACATTGTACTGCTTCTGCCCAGAACTCTTTCAGCATACTCTTGCTTTTAAGCATTGATCGAACCATGTCAAAGATAGTTCGATTCTTCCTTTCAGCCACACCATTCTGCTGAGGTGAATATGGCGCTGTAAGGAATCTTCTTATCCCCTGTTCTTCACAGTATTTTACAAAGGCAATCGAAGTATACTCTCCTCCTCTGTCTGATCGAATTGCTTTGATGTTTCGATCTGTTGCCTTTTCCACCATCACTTTGAACTTCTTGAATACTTCGAGTGCTTCAGATTTTTCTTTCAGAAAATAGACCCAGGTTTTTCTTGAGTAGTCATCGATGAAGGAGATGAAGTATCTTTTTCCACTGAATGATTCTGGGGTAATTGGCCCACAGATATCAGTGTGTATCAATTCGAGTATCTGTTTGGCTTGATACTCTGCCTTCTTCTGAAATGATGTTCTGGTTTGTTTGCTGAGCACGCATTCTTCACAGAATTTTCCTTCGAACTCCATGTTTGGCAATCCATGCACCATGTTCTTCTTCGCCAACCTTTTCAGACCAGCATGATGTAGGTGACCAAAGCGCATGTGCCACAATGACGCTTTGTCTTGTACTTCGATCTGCAGACATTTCTCTCGAATGTTCCTCAAATTAAGTTTGTACATTCGATTTCTCTCCATTTCGACAGCAGCAATCAGATATCCTGCTTTATCCTTCAACTGCAGTGTTCGATCTTTCATCAGGATCGAAGCACCCTTTTCAATGAGCTGTCCCAGACTTAATATGTTGGTCTTAAGATCTGGTACATAGTAGACATCTTCGATTGACCCAATCAAGCCATCCTTTTGCAAATAGCTGATTGTGCCCTTTCCTTCAACTTTCACCTTCGATGCATCTCCAAAAGACACGCTGCCATCTTCAACTCCCTTCATATCTTTAAACAGGTGTTTGTAACCACACATGTGATTACTTGCTCCTGAGTCAAGATACCAAATACTGTCATTGGTGTTGATTTCGTTTTGGGCCATCAGGAGGAACCCTTCATTCGATTCTGCTTCCAGGGCCAGATTTGTTGTCTCTTCAGTTTTCTTTTCATTTCGACAGTCTTTTGCAAGATGTCCTACTTTGTCACAGTTGTAACATTTGTAGGAATTGCAATCCTTCGCGTAATGGCCATACTTGCCACACTTGTAGCATTCGAAATTTGAGTAATTCGAACGACCACCTCTTTGGCCACGTCCTCTGCCACGCCAGTTTTATTGGCTCGAATTTCCTCTTTCGAAGTTACTGCCTCTACCACTTCGACCACTGTCACGTCCTCCACGTCCACGTCCTCTTCCTCGAAAGTTGTTCGAGAAAAGTACTTTTTCATCTTTCGATTCTTTTGTTTGGTTTGCTTCTTCGTCTGCCTCTTCTTTCTTCTTCATCTTTCTTTGTTCATGTGCTTCGAGCGAACCAGTGAGCTCTTCGATTGAGAGCGTCGAAAGATCCTTCGATTCTTCTATAGCACACACCAGATTTTCGAATTTGTCTGTTAAAGATCTTAAGATCTTTTCAACAACTCTTGCATCAGCCACTGTTTCTCCATTTCTTGTGAGTTGATTCACCACTTTCTGCACACGGGTGATGTAATCTGATACATTTTCTGTATCCTTCATTTGTATCCTCTCCAATTCACCACGAAGCGTTTGGAGTCGAACCTGCTTCACTCTGTCTGCTCCTTTGAACACCCTCTCTAGTGTGTCCCACGCTTGTTTCGACGTAGTCGAACTAGCAATCTTCTCAAAGCCTGATTCATCCACAGTCCGGAACAACATATATAGTGCTGTTTTGTCCTTCGCTCGCAACTCCTTCAACGCCTTCGTTTGGGCTGCTGTATATCCTCCAACTTCTGTTGGTTCTTCAAACCCATCATTGGTCACTTCCCACGCATCTAGAGATCCAAGAAGAGCTTTCATTTGGATGCTCCAGTTTTCATAGTTGGACTTCGTTAGCCGTGGTAACGGCATTTGGTTCATCATATTCGCCATTAGCTTTGATACCAATTTGATAAAATATGAATCAGACTTTGTGTGCTTTCTAACTTCTTGTATATTGCTCTTGTTGATAAATTACACACTCTTGGTCTTTTGTAGACTCAAAACAAAAACTATTACAATTCTAAAACAGTAAATTAAATTAAACATAATTGCTACATAACTACTAAAAACGATTGCCTTTCCTACTTCCATAGTTAATTCCCAATTATTTATTTCTAACCCATTTAATGTTTTTATTTCAACAATTTAAGTTGGAGAAGAGATGATGAAATTCTGAAATTTGTTAATGAAATAAATGATGTTTTCGAGTTTTGTTTATGGAAGAAATGATATTTTCAAGCATGGTTTAGTAGAGAAATAGATTGTCGTAAATGAAAGATGACATTTGGAGGTAGAAAATGCAGTTCGTTTAAGTTTTTAGTTTCCCGCGTATCACTAATGGTAGTGTTTTAAACGTTGATACTCACTAAATGAAGGACAGAGATTTGTTAAAAGACGGCGGAGAAACTCAATAAACACGCTTATAAGAAACTCAATAAACTCAATAGGGCGCTACATACAACAATGGTTGTATTAAAAAGCGGTTGTTGTATGTCTTTTAATAAAATATAAAAAATGTAGCAGTAGAACAACAACAACAAAATTCGAAATCATGACCATACGTTACATACAACAACGATTGCGTTAAACAACTGTTGTTGTTGTATGTCTTTTGATAAAATGAATTACCAAGATAGAATCAAATGCAGGGAGATAATCAACTTGATGAGTCACAAGAAGTACTGTCTTTCTGGCAAGTCCTTCCAATATGTATTCCTGCCATGTTTAAAAGTCATATTTCAATAAATAAAAAATGATAACTATGATGTAGTTTCAATTTTTAAGAAAGAGAAAAGTCATTACATGGAACAATATTTTTGCAGTGTGCGCATCAACAGCACTAAAAGGATCATCCAAGAGATATACATCAGCATTCTGATAAAGAGCCCGAGCAAGTTGAATTCGCTGCTTCTGCCCTCCACTTAGATTAACACCTCTCTCTCCTATCTCTGTTAGATCACCATATGGAAACAACTCAAGGTCCTTCATGAGCGAAGACCGACGAAGCGATTCTTGATACCTTTTAGCATCCAAAGGCGATCCAAACAAAATATTTTCTTGTATTGTTCCTTTTTGTATCCATGCTGTTTGAGAAACATATGCAAACTTCCCATAAACTTTGATCTATAAATTACAATTCAAAATTTTCCACAAATGAATACCATCTTCATCGAGAATAAAAGACATGAATGTATAAAAGGAATAAATGCTTACTTTCCCTTTAGTATTCGGTACTTCTCCGAGAATTGCTGCTAATAAAGTTGATTTTCCTGAACCAACTTCTCCGCAAATAGCTATCTTTTGCCCAACATTGACATTCAAGTTTATATTTGTTATCGTTGCCTTCAATAAACTATCTTCCCATGAAAAGTCAGCAGACTTGATTAGAATTGAGCCCTTCAACTTCTCATCATAGCACCTCTTTCTGAAAACTGTAGTATTTAGTTCAGGTGCCTCGAGAAATATCAAAACCCGAGAAAAGGAAACCTTTGCTTGAATGATCGCGCCAACAACATCTCCGATGGTTGAAATAGGATCTTGCACAAGGCACAAAGTTGCGATGAATGTGAAAACATTATTTGCATGTAAAGGAATGTTGATCAAGTAACAAGCCACAAAGGTGGCAGTAGAGACCAAAATAGGTGAAAACCAAAAGAGAATCACACTATATGCCTTTTGTAAAAGCACCGAAGACAACCATTTTAGTTCAACAATTCTTAGACTTTCAATCACGTTTTTAAAATGGTTTTCCCATGCATATAACTTCAACACTTTAACATTCATTAGAGCCTCTGAACAAGCCTTCAACCTTTCATCTTGAGCCAGCAGAAGTTTGCTTAGAAACTTATGTTGTAACTTTGCTAGTGGAGTATTTAAAATCACGCTCAAAACTATCACCACCAATGATGCAATTGTTGCTAGACCAATAGCACGGAAAAGAATTACTAATGCGATGCATAGTTGGAGAACTGTTGTCCATGTTTGGTGAAACCAAAACGGAAATTCTCCAATTCTATACGCATCTACATTCACATAATTCATTATCTCGCCACTAGAGTGAACCAGTCTAGTAGCGTCCGATAATCTCAGTTGTTTCTTATAAATGCCTGCAGTGATTAATGACCTAACTTTCATACCAATAAGTCTAGAACGAAAATGCCACTGTCTTTGAGATAAGGATTCTAAAATCTTTGTAAATAAAAGCGATATGGCCAACAAGTAACCTTCATATTTGAATCTTTTATTACCCTCAGCCACCAATATAAAGGCATTCAAAATTACAGGACAAGAAGATAGAGTGAGTACCTTAAGAAATGCAAAGAACCCTGATATTAAAATCTCTCTCCGGTGGCACAAAATTATTATCCATAAAACGGATGACGGTGATGACAGATCCTTCTGCTTTTGTCTATTCAATTGATCTATAAATAACGAATAGCATACTTCTGCTCTATCTGCTTCGCGTAACTTTGGGATGTCCTCGTCCTGAAGTATTTTATCTTGACCCGCTTTCATCAGCGGATTCAACCACCAAAATGACATTCTACTAAAGAATCCCGCACTTCCAAATGGGGTTACGCTTATACGGTTAATGAGATCATCATCATGGACCTGACTATATAAACTACCATGAATTTCCTCATCAGTATCTTCATATTTACATGCTTTGTATGTGCTAAAGAGCAGCAAAAATGCTCCCAAGAAAGATAAAACATCTAAAGCTACCTTAAGAGACAATTCTTTGCTGCCAAATGCATAAGATAAGGAAAAACCACACAGAACACCAGAAACAAAGAATATCATAATCGAAAACAATCTCAACCATGTTCTTGAAAGATGTTTTGGCAAAACACTTGTACTTAGACCAACTAACATCCATGTGAATCCCCAAAGAAGTTCTAGCAGCCACAAACATAGAGGAAAAACAGTGAGATTTTTCCTTATCTTCTCATTTAAAATCCAAATGCCAAAGCACAAATGCAACAAACCGAGACAGCCACTGGTTATTGCAGAAACTAGCTGCAATTTTGAATACTTTTCCACTCTATTCTGAGCCTGAATTGGCCTCAAGAAACACTTTTGGATTATGACAAATGTGAAAACTATTAGCAACAACATATCAAGGAAAATGATCAACAAATGGCTGATGCATGAAGAAGGATCCTTCAGAACCCCGAAATCGAAACAAAAGGGTTTTCCTCCAAGTGAAGAACAAGCAGAATCATCACAAATCATGTTCCAAAAGTCTTCCATTTTATCTGTAAATATTAACATCATGAGAAGCTGAACTTCAGAAGAAAATAAAATCTAAAACATTAAAATAAGTAAGAAAATAAAGGCCTAATGATCAATTTTTCTATAGTGATCAAAATGTACCTGTTATTGTTGGTTCGTTTCTTGTGAGAAAAACTAAGATGGAAGCTACATTATAAGTAGATGAATAAAGTGGAAAACGTGTTTTCTGAATTATTTAATGACATGTGCAAAACCATATGGCACATTTTAATAAACAAATTGACTTTAGACAATAAAAGCTGTTTTGCCATTAGAGTGACTCAGATAAATCTTTTGACCCTTTACACAACCACGAGGCCATTATTGTTTGTTCATGTTTCAGTTTCAGAACTCCATCTTCTTACCACTCTGAGAACCATAACTACATCATTGATTGTTTCTCTACTTCATCTTTGCATACACCTATTTTGGTCATTCTCAAATAGTCTTTTATAATAAACTAAATAATAATTTTTTTTCAAATAGTACTTATAAGGTTTTGTTTGTAAGTTTAGGAAAAAATAGAGGAAAACTTTGAAAAAATTAAAGTAAAAAGAATTGAAGGATTAGAGAGGTGATCGGTTGAGGGTTAAATTTTTTTCACCATATAAACTAAAATTATATTAGAGTGAGTTTTCAAGGATTAGATAAACTCTTTAAATTTAGTTTATACTGATATAATAATCTAAATAGTAAAAATATATCAATAATAAATTTTTATTTATCATTTTATATTAAAATTTTAAGATTTTGAGTAAAAAATGACTCTGACTACACTAAGAGAACTTATGCGCGACATGATGGTCCCAACCTTTTTTTTTTCAAAGCATTTATTGAAGTTTAGTGTTGTATCTTAATTTTTAACCTAAGATTCCACGTCAATAAATTATGCATATCATCTTCTTCATCACAATCTCATCACATTAGGGTTTCATAATAGAATCATCAAGTGTTCGAAGAGAATTAGGATTTTTGCACCCTTAGTTAAATATCAGCAATTAAGGTTTTGAAGGTTGAGCTCCAATATACATCACTCAAGAGATCCTCAATATCACCATCTTATAGTCCTCAAGATGTCTCAATGTGTTGAAAATTGCATCATGATCACAAGGTCTTATTGAAAGATTTGAATTCATTTGTAAAAGTCAACTGTTCAAAGTCAAACTTTGACTTTTAAGATTTTTAATCAAATATGGACCTCTCAAGTTAAATTTCATGAAAATATGATTGATATTTGAATTTGATCAAGTGAAATCATAAAATTTGAGATAACTTGCAAAAATGATAAATATGAAGAAATAGAAAAAAATTCTAAGTGTCAAAAACTTATGTTCAAGTGACCAAGTTCTCAAGCTTATAACTTTAAATCCATGCAATCATTTTTCATGTCTAAGGGATGCACTTAAAGATGATCCTACATACTTCAACATTGTGGAAATAATTGACTCAAAAACTCATAAGATTTGGAAGATATGAAGTATTGAATTTGAGGTCTCAAGGTTGTGGAAACACAAAATACTTAAAAAAAAATCTAAGTGTTTTTCAGCTTAAAAGCCCAATTTTGTTGGTCAGTTTTCTTATTGATCCAAATTAATTTTATCTAAGTGATCAATATGAAAGTTGTAGAGGATGGAATCATCTTTCCAATGGTACTAAGAGCATGAATTTATCTTGCTTGATCATCAAGTTTCGAAGAGGAGAAGTAGTCATGGTGAAGTTGTTTTACAAATCAGATTTGATATTCAAATTTATGTCCAAACCTATAGCAAACTATGTGATCTTGCTTTGCAGCCTACGTTGCTTCTAAAAATATCTACATAATTGATGAATTACACAAGTCCGTGATGCATTACCCAAGTGTCTAAGGCTTTGTTCAAGTTTTATTCCATTTTTGAACAAAAGTCATCACTTCTATTTACAAAAAGCTCACTTTAATTACAATGTCAATGCATTGAGTCCATATCGTATTATCTCTGATCACATTTTATCAATAAACTCAGAAGCAACACCCTAAGACATCCATATTATCTCATAAACCATTCAAGCTATATGCATTGAAACCATAAACATCATTAAACTACAAACTTGCATGTTAACCAAACAAAAACTTCCAACCTTGAAATCTGATCAGCTCTTATTCTCTCAACTTTCTCTATAAATAGAGGGCCTCATCTCATTGTAAAAGATCATACACACACACACACGTTGAGCCATAAATACATAGAGAAAATCATAAAAACTCCATTGTTGTACCAAAGAGTCATTCCTTCGAAACTCTTAATCCCTCAAAATTTCTTTCATTTTTTCACTCAAACACCATCCACACAACATTTAGAGATTATTGTATGCATTGAATTGCATCTGTAATCAATAAATCTCCAACCTGAATCACACATCTAATCCATTGCAACTTTACTTGGTTGAGAGGTTTGAGGAAGTTTCAAGGTATTCTATCTATTGAAATACATTTCTGGAGCATCAAGGGTGCTAAAAGACTCAATTTCAACTTCTGAAAGTAGTTGAATCCAAGTTCCCCGTCTCGACATACAAGGTATGTTTTCTCAACTTGGAACTTTATCAAACATGCATCATTTTAAAAATTTCTTGATACTATTATGTTTGTTTGAATGCCATGAGCTGAAGCCCCGTGAAAATGGGCATTGGTTGATCATGTATGATGTTTAATTTAACTTTGAAAAAATAGGGGTTTTCTGGTTTTATCCAAAATTCATGTGATACGGTGAAAATAAATTTATTTTAGGCACGTATTTCGAATTCTCATTAAATTTCAAGCAAGTTAGCTCTTTACTTTTTTCGATTTAGTTGAGAAATGAGAAAACATGAAATCACTATTGTTAGGTGTCTTAAGGTAGAAGATAAAGTCAGGTGGCGCGAAATTTAAAAAATTAAAATGTTGTTTTATTTTATATTTAGTTGAATTTGTTTTATAAATGAATTTACATTATGCTCCAGTGGTTAATGCGTTGGTATTTGTGTGTTTTTGTGTGAGTGAGGTCTGGGGTTTGAATCCCCCTCGCCCCAGACCCTTTTGTTTTATTTTTTTTTCCAATCATTTCCAAAGATTGTTTCATATTTATTATTGTGATTGTGTGTTATATCAAGCCACAATGCATGGCCCAGTGGATATTCTTTTGAGTTGGAACCTCAAGGTCATGGGTTTAACACCCGGTGACCATATTCTCTAATTTTTATCATTATCTTTCTTTATTTCTGATCTTACCTGATCAGACTTGGACCGTCACGTCTGGCTCCGAGCTGAAGTTTGAACGAGATGGGGGGGGGGGGGGGGGGGGTACCTGCAAGGCACTCCGATGCTGAAGTAAGTGAGAGTACGAGTAGGAAAAAGTATGAGTATGGGTAAAAGAATGAATACCTGACCCTCTGGGAACAGAGGGTATTTATAGCTCCAGCGCTGGGCCAAGGTCCCTTCATTGGGCCGGGCAGGTTTGGCCCAAATGAAGGAACTGCCAGGTTCTACGTGTGTAGTAGGGACCCGCACGTGGTCTCCTTCCTGGGTGTTCTATGAGAAGTACGGACGGACGGGGACGCGGTCTTTTCGGGAACCTGGTGGTGGCATAATGGTCATGGTCTGCCCTACGAGGGGCGCTCGAGCTGGACTGCATGAAGTCGAGGATGGCGTACCAGCGGAGCGTGTCGGGCACGACTATGGCTTCTTGGTCGGCGCGACCCCCTGCAAGGCCGTTTGGATTGGGCCTTCATCCTTGCTTTTGGGCCAGCCCGGCCCAGTCCAGAACAGGAGCCCCCCAAGTCGTGGTTCCTGGAGTAGGAGCCATGACTTGATCTTAGGTCGCCTCCGCCACGGGGTCCCGTGCCCGGTTAAGAGATATAGTTCCCCGTTGTTTGCTCGAGGAGTTTCTACCGGGCTCGTGAGATAATTCCTTTCGAGGAGTGCTCGGGGGAATCTCGATGGGCTGTGTTCATTGCGCACACGAGGCATCTCTTGGGAACTGTGCTTCCACCCTACTGACGATAGGGTCATCATTGCCTAGGGGAGCTACGCGTCGAGGAGGGAAGTTATGTGGTTCTCCGGGGTGACGTTTCGTATTCCACATCATCACTATAAATAGGGTCCTTGGGCCCCAGAACGTGTTTTTCCTCTTCGCGCTCCTCCTCTTTCCTCTGCCTCTGCTGCTGCTGTTCTTCCTAGATATTCATAGGACCGCCGTGATCTCCGTCGCTGATTCCCTTTTCCGCCGTCGCACCTCTTTCCTGATTCTAAGTAAGCGTCTTATCCCCTTTGCTTTTCCTCTATGATGTAAGCTATTTTTCATCGTTTTTAGACGTTAGAGACTGTACGCATGGGATTAGCCCCGGTAGATTCATATTTGGCTCGACAAATCCATGTTTATACCCGACGAACGCATGTTTGCACCCGGTACATGCATAGTTTAGGTATTTGACTCGCAGTGCTGCCCGGGATCTCCATGGTTCAGGGCGCCTAATTCTTGGTAGTGCCCGGTAAACTCATAGCTCTAGTTTTGGAATTCATGATATCGCTCGCCGTATTCATAGCCTAGGTTGACATACTCGTGAGTGGTCGAGATGTCGGCCCACCTAGGTGATCTGTAGGGAGACTTGTCGTGGTATCTGAGAGTCGGGGAGATGACTTCTCTTTTTGTTTCGAAACACCAACCTTTTTAGTCGCACGTGGAGTGACACGGCTTGTCGCGCCCTTCAACCCGTCCGTTATAGCGAGCGTGTGGATTTGCTCCCCAATTGACCGGTTTCCTGTGCTTTGTAGGTAACCATGGCGGACGAACCGTGTCCCTCGGGGCGCACTGAGGTGGAAGACCAAAGTGCTGAGGAGAATGTGAATTTGGTCGATACCATCGACGACCCTTTGCTGGAATGGGTGGGCGCCGAGCCCAGAGGGATTGCCTTAGCCTATAGTCGATGCAGTCGAAGTGCGTATACCATCATCGAGAAGGGCGGTAGCC